AAACATTAGATTACAATTTAAATAAGTGTCCACCTACATAAATGAAGAGCTCCTATGAGGTTCAAACAACGAGGAACAACCATCCAGATTCATACAATAGTCATACCAAGTCATGTAACCCAAGCAGTTTGTAAGCCAAATTAGAACATGGGGCACATAAGTCTCTCTCAAGCTCCCTACTGTCCTCTCATATATGGGATAGTTAGGATTAACCCAACTAGTAGGTCCATAATCTGTTTCATCATCTTGAGCTCCATAACTAGTTCCACTATAATCAGACATGACATAACCATAGCCATCATAAGATTCATTTGAGTTAGTACTAAGTCTAGTTTCTATGATCATAGATCCAAAATTGTTCCCCATGTTCTCTTCAGATGGATTCAAGGTATGTGGCCAGTGGACTGTGCATAAATTCTTCATATTAATAAATTATAGGGTTCTGGGCAAGGATTAGTAATTTTTGGGTTTCAATTTGCTCAATTGCCTTCAAAACTTATGAATTTTTTTTGGGTTTTGTTATGGGTATCGGGAAATATCATGGATATCGGCAAAATATCTGAAATATCGCACTTATCGGGGGATATATCGTCGATACAGGGGAAGATATGGCCTTACCCCCAGTATCGGTGTCGATAGTTGAAAATACAGATATATCGGCAGATATATCGGTGTATCGGCCGATATTTCAATCCTTGGCCGCCCAAAACTTCCATTCCTTGATCCCTCAATGGGCCTTGTGAATGCTTGTACCCATCCACACCACAACCTTCTCAGCAAGCCCTGGGTAATTTTGTGGCTTTGGCTCACTTAAGCTTGTGGCATGGCTTGGTATTAGAATAGTGGTCATTTGCATGACATTTATTTAGCATGCTTGTGCTTGAGTTTTTATTATGCTGTAATAGGCTATAATTGGGCCAAGTAACACTGGATAGGTAGATGAGCGTGATTTTGTAAAGTTGGTATGTTCTTGGCCCTTTTTGCATGTGCTTGCTTGGCATGACACGTGACCCGTGGCTTGCATTGGTGTGTCCTACAGATTCTCTTTTGTCCCGATCGGGTTCCCCTTGTGTTCAATTATCCGTGTTGGGCCAATAATAGATCTGGGCCTAGCCCCTTGGATTTTTGGGCATCAACAGCTTTTAAAAGGCAATGTGAAGTGTGGGATGGGCTGCCAATTTTGAAACTTATTAGTTTCTTTGAGAAGCCGGTGCCGCATTTATGCGTGCGGGGAACACTCAGCAGATTGATCCATCAAAGAAGACAAAATAATGGTGTCATTCGGACAAACTTGGGCAATTGATCCGGCGACAAGTCTTTCAGTCATTTGCCAAGTTGGTCCCTTTAGCCTCGTTTGTTACGGAAGATTGTCTTGGCATGAACTATTCTCATAAATTGTCTTGGCTTGAATTGGCTTAAGTTGAATAACACTTAACCGATGTTTGGTGATGCTTGGATTGGGACTAAATTTAAATTGATTAAAATATCAATAAATAGAATGATATATTTCAACTTCTATTCTTCTGTACAAACGTGGGTTAAAAATATTCCAAAGTTTTATTTAATAAGGTTTATTTTTTAGGTTTATACAGGTTTTAAATTTGAGGGCATTTGTGTCTATTTAAATGAGTTTTTTGTTATATTTGAAATATTTTACAAAAACTGACATTTTTGAAATTAAAAAGATCAAATTTTAGCTATTTTTGATCAATTCTCCACGTGGCTAGGTTGTTGAAAAAGGAGAAAAAGAATAAATAAATTAAAATAAAACAAATGAGAGACCCACCGAAAAAAAAATAGGAGTTGGGTGCCGAAAAGTAGTGGAGAGTGAATAAAGAGAGATAGCGTGGGAGCACATGAGACGGAAGGTAAGGTAAAGACAAAACATGACCATAAAGAAAAAGGAAGAAAGAAAAATTGTGCCTGACAAGAAAGTTGTGTCTGATAAGAAAATTGAAGGAAAACTTTGAAAAGAGTGCTCAAGTGAGCAAAGAGAGAAACAGAAAAGGGTTTTCGTTTCGTGGGGTTCACATGTAGGTTTTCGTGGGTGATGAGCTTGAGAAGGGGACTGAGTTTGAGGAAGAAATGGAGATATTTGAGATGGAGAGAGAGATGGATGTGGAGAGTAAATATAAAAAATGGTGAAAGAGACGAAGTTCCCTCAATTCTATGACAGAGAAGTTCGAGATCACAGAGCGAGTGAGACTTTGTTCTGATCACAAAGGAAAGGACTAAGGAGGGACAAGAGGACTGAGAGGACTGTGCTTTGCCAATTTATAGTTCTTCTTTGCACAACACAGTCCCTCTGTTCAGATTAAATTCACCAAATTTTAACAAGAAAGGAAAACAAAACAAAAATATTGCTGAGAATGAATAACAATCTAAGGGCCTGTTTGATAGTTTCTATATTATAGAGGAAAATGAGAGTGAGAATGAGTGTGAGGATGAGAGGAAAGGATGAGAGAGATAAGTAACACAAGTGAGAACAATTTGAAATAGATTTCAGTTTGTGGTTTTTGTTTTCACTTTTGTTACTCCTCCCTCTCATCCTCTCCTCATCTTCCCTCTCAATCCTATCTCCACTTTCATTTTCACTTTTATTTTCCCTCTTTTTTTATTCTATACTGTAGCACAAAAACTGAAAAACTAAAAACTAAAATTGGAATGGTCTGGAGGCCATAATTTCCCTTACAAGCAATTTGGAAAAACATTAAGAAGATTTAATCCTGCTTGGTTTGATGATTTTTCTACTTGGTTGGAATATAGTATAGAAACAGATTCTGCTATTTGTCTTTGCTGCAACCTTTTTAAACCAAAATTGGAGAACAAGCAGGTAGTGATTATTTTGTGGGTGAAGGTTTTTCTAATTGTAACGTATTTCAAGATTGTAATGTATTTCATGGGAAGACATTATGGATTAATTAAGTATGTTGTTGAAATTTTACTTTGTTGTTTGGAGATGTTTTTTTTTTTTTTTTTTTTTTTTTTTTTTTTTTTTTTTTTTTTTTTTTTTTTTTTTTTTTTTTTTTTTTTTTTTTTTTTTTTTTTTTTTTTTTTTTTTTTTTTTTTTTTTTTTTTTTTTTTTTTTTTTTTTTTTTTTTTTTTTTTTTTTTTTTTTTTTTTTTTTTTTTTTTTTTTTTTTTTTTTTTTTTTTTTTTTTTTTTTTTTTTTTTTTTTTTTTTTTTTTTTTTTTTTTTTTTTTTTTTTTTTTTTTTTTTTTTTTTTTTTTTTTTTTTTTTTTTTTTTTTTTTTTTTTTTTTTTTTTTTTTTTTTTTTTTTTTTTTTTTTTTTTTTTTTTTTTTTTTTTTTTTTTTTTTTTTTTTTTTTTTTTTTTTTTTTTTTTTTTTTTTCCCCTGTGTAATTTGATCATTTCCCAAATTTTACCCATGTCAAACAAGCATATTGTTGAGGCCCAAAAATCCAAGGGGCTAAGCCCAAATTAATTCCTAGCCCAACACGGATAAGAGGGTACGAAAAGGCTCAATCGAAACAAAAGAGCATTTGTGGGACCCGCTAATACATGCTACCAGCCGCGCGTCATGCCATTAGGTGTTACTTGACCCGGAATAATAAAACTCAAGCACAAGCTAGGCATCATGCGAAAAGAGCCATTATTCTACCACCAAGCTATGTCACAAGTGGACCCAAGCCACAAAATTAAACCGGGGCTTACTGAGAAGGTTGTGGCATGGAGGGGAACGAGCAATCACAAGGCCCATTGAGGGTTCAAGGAACGTAAGTTTTAAGCCACTTGGGGCTCTAGAACTCGAGCCCGTTCCTGGCACCCAAACACATGGGTTAGCATGAGAGAGAAGAGAAAATGGTCCCATGCTTTAAAATATCCATTGGCCTACCATAATGCCTAGCCCAACCCATATCAATAGAATGCCCAAGATTAACAAAGCCTTTCCAGCAGTCTGACGGAGACCCATCGCATGATCAGACCCACAACCCAATACCATATACACAAGTCCAGCCCAGCAACTTGCAAAAGTCTGGCGCTAAGTCCCATTCCCGTTAGAACCCCAAATAGCTGTCACAAGGGAGCCATGGCAGGACCAGAGGAAAGCCACGGAGGTGAGGGGAGTGTCCATTGGATAGAAGGCTTCATCTCTCCTCTTTTCCTCTGTAATCTATGTCTTGAAAAAACCATAAGAAAAGCAGGTGGCGCCTTCCCCTCTATGGGAAGGTCCAGCTGCGTCAAACCATTGGAACCACAAAGGGTTCCTTACCCAGGCTTCTTGGATGGAGAAATTCATCAAGAAGGATAAAGTGGAAGAGGGCAATGACAAAAGGAGGAAAAAATTGAGACAAAATTTAGGGTTCTTCGTGGCTATAAAAGGGACCTCTTCAACCCAGCAAAAATCAACAATCCAGAGCCTGACCAAGCTGTGTCAAGCTACCTGGAATTTACTCAAGCCACCCAATCTTCCTTCTTCGTTTGATTTTTATTCTTCCTTTAGGATAGAAATCGTTCTAGTTCTTCTCTGCCTCACTTCAGATTTTTCACTCTCAGTAGGAAATCCATGCTTCTCTCTCTCTCAAATTGCTAAACTTGTGAAAGTTTAGCTCCCATGCCACAGGCTCCTCAAGCTAAGCCATTAATTGATTTTATCATGCTTATTTGGCAATTAGTGAAGAAAACCTAAGGATGTTCTTCTAAGGTTTATCAAATCTTTCAAGGACTCCTTTAGGAGTTTGGTTCCAGAACTCGGACACTTGGGGAATTTCTGTGCGTTTTCTTCTTACGGCAGCCCAAGCCCATTCATCAGGCTGCTGGAACAAAAAGACCCCTACATAAATTGGCGACTCTGTTGGGGATCAAGCTGTTGTTTTCACTAAATGCCTCCAAAAAAGAAGACTAGAAGCAATACCATGGCTTCCCAAGATGGATCCGACCATGGTGATTCCGGATCACGGCAAAATGCCTCCTTTAGGGAACAAGAACGTGCAAGTGAGGGAACTTTCACTCTCATAGATCTCATTACCGCTATCAGGCTATGGGGGAAACCCAGAGGGAGATGATGGATACTATCAAGGAATTAAAAAATGCCGCCTCTAAGCCAGGTGAAGACGACGACAGGCATCCACAAGAAGAATCTGCTGCTGCTGGGAAGGGGTCTGAACAAAAGGGACCATCTTTTGTTACCCAGGAAGATGTCGTTGCCATGCTGGAAAAAGAGCTTAGTCGAATCCAGGAGGATTGGAAATACATTCCTCAGCCACCATACTCGTCCAGCTTACTCCAGCAGCCTTATCCCAAAGGTTACGAAACACCGACCTTTGTTCTTTTCGATGGGAGGAAGGGAAGCCCGAAGGAACATGTCAACCGATTCCTCGATGCCTTAGGACCACATGCTGGTGACTATAATCTTCAACTCCGCGAATTCTCAAAAAGCCTCACTGATCGGGCTTATACCTGGTACACCACGTTGGCGCCAGGTTCTATGCGTTCTTGGGATGACCTGGCAAGCAGGTTTTGTAAAAAATATTTTCAGCACGAGGAGAGGGTTACCACCACACAGCTCAACAACACTCGCCAAAAGCAAGGGGAGGATCCTGTGGACTTTTTACGAAGATTCCGGGACTTGGCTCTCGACTGTTATGACGAAAAAGATGAGGAGGCACTTATCGAGATTTGCATCAGTAACATCATGGCAGATTACAGAGTTTACTTGGAGAATATTGGCATCAGTCAATTTTCTCAGCTGCTGGAAGCAGTAAGGAAGACAAGCATGTCTGTCAAGCCAACCGGGCAGAGAAGTTGGAGGAGCGAGAAGAAGGAAGCCCATCAAACGCTGGCCATAAATGATAAGTCATCCAATGACTACAACTCACGCAAAAGAAAGGATTGGGAGACATACCCTTCATTGCCGTGCAAGGACGAAGAATTTCATGCCATTCTTGACACGATGATTGCTGACGGCGCAATCAAGCCCCTTAGGCCCTACAAGGTCCCTACTAGGGAAGAAAAAAATGATCCCAGGTACTACCGTTACCATCAATTTGTAGGGCATCCAACTATTGCCTGCCAGAGCTTAAGGAGGATCTTACATGGTAAAATAAACGAAGGGGTTCTTGAGCTTCCCTCTAGGAAGCAAACTATCGATGAGGATCCTTTACCAAAGCGAAGGGGAAAAGAGGTAGCTGCTGTTGTAACATGTTCTGACGATCTGCTCGATGATGATGAACTGTGTCACCCATGGAAGAACGACCCGAAGCCACCTGAGGCTATTTGGGAGCCTTGTGGAAACATGGAGAAAGCTTACTGGCAAAAATATTCAAAACCTTCAAGCTACAATATGCGATGGCCACTTGTTGACGGATGGGACGGCTGTGCAGACAACGAAGTATTTATGTTGGACATGCCGGAAGAACAATGCCTGGGAACCTCCTCTGGGCAGCAGGAAACGGCTGCTGTAACATTTCATGCTCTTACAGAAGCTGAGGCAACTGTAATGGAGCGTTACCTAGGTTTGAAGCAAGGACCTACAGCTTCGCAAGTTCTCCAAAGAAATCCAAAGTTCTAGTCACTCTTCGACCAGCTTGGTTTTGGACCTCAGGCAAGGGAAGCAGCTGTTGTAGCTCTCATGAACATTTCCGCAGAATCTAATCCCCATTGCTTCGCCGCTCAACCCCAAAGGTCATTCTTGGAAAATGATAATGCTATCGTTTTCACGGATGAAGACATGGAGGTCCCATATCCGGATCACAGGAGGCCACTTTATTTGGAGGGACAAATCAACGATGTATTTATAAGAAGGGCTTTGGTAGACACGGGTTCCTCTGTCAACATATTACCCTTGTCCGTGCTTACAGCAGCTGGCATTCCATTATCCAAAATTGTCCAATCGCAAACAAGCATCAGTGGTTTCGGGAACAAGAGTGAAGTCACAGTCGGGCACATGCAAGTAAATTTGAAGGTTGGACCGATTCGGTCACTTACTAAGTTCTATGTCGTAGATGTGGATGTGGCTTATCATGCTTTGCTTGGGAGGCCATGGCTTAATAAGCATAATTTTTTTTTTTTTTTTTTTTTTTTTTTTTTTTTTTTTTTTTTTTTTTTTTTTTTTTTTTTTTTTTTTTTTTTTTTTTTTTTTTTTTTTTTTTTTTTTTTTTTTTTTTTTTTTTTTTTTTTTTTTTTTTTTTTTTTTTTTTTTTTTTTTTTTTTTTTTTTTTTTTTTTTTTTTTTTTTTTTTTTTTTTTTTTTTTTTTTTTTTTTTTTTTTTTTTTTTTTTTTTTTTTTTTTTTTTTTTTTTTTTTTTTTTTTTTTTTTTTTTTTTTTTTTTTTTTTTTTTTTTTTTTTTTTTTTTTTTTTTTTTTTTTTTTTTTTTTTTTTTTTTTTTTTTTTTTTTTTTTTTTTTTTTTTTTTTTTTTTTTTTTTTTTTTTTTTTTTTTTTTTTTTTGGGGGAACAAAAAGACCCCTACACATATATATACAATCCAACTGCCAACATGTGTATATATATACATTCTAACATTTAAATCTAAGTTCTAGGGCAGGTTATCAGAGCAATCACTAAGAAATTACAAAAGAAGTCAACTCATTTACAGAAGAGCCCTACATCAGAATGGGGAAGCGCGGAAAGTGGGAACGGCCCTGAGGTGGATCACTATGCACGCGTATTGCCTGGGGGCGCAAAACATTGAAAAATGTGAGTAGACCAAAAACAAAGTTTTTGAAAAATAACATAAGAACATACTAACCCCACTGTAAAAACAGTTATAAAAACTGAATCAACTTCCTCATATATACTCGTACTGAACTCATGCATTCATATTTATACATATATTACCAAACATTAATCCTGCTGAAAGACATTGAAGTAAAGTTCAACCTACCACCTAGGTATACTTATTTGTTTTCGTCAATTCCCTTAATTACTATCTATTCCTCGTGTCACCATGGTGACACACCCTCGCAGGATTCAGGTTAGCCTGATCCGCCCTCCTTGCAAGACTCAAGGGACACTAGTTAAGCATGTTGACTTAATCGAAGACAATACTTAAAATACTTGGTTACCTAAGGCGATTAAAGAAAACATAACTTCCTAGAAGGTTTGGAATAAATAAAACTAACTCTTCTAATCTTAGAACTCTATTGCCATCCTATCCGATTTCTAAAATCCTTATTTTCACTATTCTTTAGGTACTCTCGTCTCGGCAGCAAATAAATAAAATACTTAATCTTAGCAACACATGCTTGAAAGCCCTCAATCTATTGCATACTTATTCAAGATCAAATAATGAATTTAAATTGCATAAAACCATTTATGAAAGCAAAGGTCCACTCACTCCTGGTCCAAGCTAGCTAGACCTCTTGAAGGTCCTTCCTGCGGGTCGGTCCGAGCTCGTGTGCCTGATCAAACCATCATGAATATTTAATTAATAAAACTACTCGTTATAAGTATTTAATTAAAACCCTAACCCCCCGCTCCTAGAAGTGTGTGCACTAACTTTAGAATCGTTCATATGCCCACAAAAGCTTTCCTTACATTTGGAATGGTTTAGAAGTGCCTCGGGACTCAACAAAACGCTAAAGTCCTAAAAGTCAACCCGGGACTCCGTAGGTCCTCGACCTCTAAATTCTTATCCGGAAGCTCCTAGAGGTTCCAATATACCTAGGACACATGTCCTAAAAGTTTGATCTCGATCGGACTGTCGAACAAATCACGATCGTACAAATCGGCGGTTCCTGTAATCCTAGCCCTAGGGTTGGCATTTTCGGAGTATTCGGGCCTCCGATTTACGATCCGTCGAATCCTATATGATCCTGGAAATATCTAGATCAACATATCTGAAAATGACTATGATCGAACGGCTCAAACGTATCGAACCCTGAAATAACACAATAGGCGATATCAATTCGGGGTTCAAACATTATCCAAATTGAAATCCGCGAGTACCTACGCGCTCGTAAGGACCAAGGGATCATTTTAGGACTGAATGTGGTCCCCACCATACTGCCCACGCGCCACCAAATGCACTGGCAGCATGGGCGGCTTGATAAATTTCTGGTCGTCGAAAAAACTCCAAACTACCAAAGGTTATGGAGGTTTGGAACGATCGGACAAAAACAGGGGAGGGGAAAGACGCGAGGAGAGAGAGGGAGAGAAAGAGAGAGAAAAGAGGTTTTTCTAAAAAAATCTGCCTTGGCAAATTACCATTTTGCCCCTCCACGTATTTTACTTGTATTTTCTTCGTTAAAAACCCGACTCAAGCCCACTACGTGTCTACAGACTCATTCCGTCACGCTCTACGCAACGGTGCAAGCAGAATTTCCAAATTCCTTCCCAGCCAAAAAGTCAACTTTTCCTTTAATAAACTATTCTAGGGGCAAAATTGTCTTTCTCTCTAATAATTAAATATTATTTAAGGACAGCGTTATTAAAGTTCCGCTCTATCGATTGATGATCGTATAAGAGATCTGTAACTCCTTGAAATTATTTACATAATGGTTCCTGCTTCCTACCCATAGTTAGCATGTATCGCCCCGGGTCATACTTGAGTATCACATCGTAGACCCCCACCCCAACTCCATCTTCCTTATCAGTGAACCTGAAATAGTGCATAGGTATTCTTCAATGCAAGCAGGGACGAGAAGATGTGACATACTACGATGATGTACAGAAGTGCTGCCCTTTGGCTCGGCAATATGGAACCTCTCAACAACTCCCGTTCCTTTATGAGGTCGTATCTTTTTTTTTTTTTTTTTTTTTTTTTTTTTTTTTTTTTTTTTTTTTTTTTTTTTTTTTTTTTTTTTTTTTTTTTTTTTTTTTTTTTTTTTTTTTTTTTTTTTTTTTTTTTTTTTTTTTTTTTTTTTTTTTTTTTTTTTTTTTTTTTTTTTTTTTTTTTTTTTTTTTTTTTTTTTTTTTTTTTTTTTTTTTTTTTTTTTTTTTTTTTTTTTTTTTTTTTTTTTTTTTTTTTTTTTTTTTTTTTTTTTTTTTTTTTTTTTTTTTTTTTTTTTTTTTTTTTTTTTTTTTTTTTTTTTTTTTTTTTTTTTTTTTTTTTTTTTTTTTTTTTTTTTTTTTTTTTTTTTTTTTTTTTTTTTTTTTTTTTTTTTTTTTTTTTTTTTTTTTTTTTTTTAAAATTCAGGGGATTTGGGGGCTCAACATCCTCCTTTCCCGCGGCTGTGCAATGGGAGCTTCCACTCTTGGTTTGCTGTTTTTTCTTCTTTTCTTTCCTCTTCCTTGGCTGAATCTGACGAAGGAAAAGAGGTGAAAATACATGCTGGTCCAAGGGATGCTTCTGACAGCATGCGGGATGGTATTCATCGGTTCTTTGGATGTCTCTGGCTTGAGACTGGTTTCCAGCAGCTTTGCTTAAGGAGTCTGCCATCTGCTCTTCACGTGTCCTCTGCTTTCTCCAAAAGCTGAGGTTTTTTGTGGGCTATTTTGGGATTTTTATATGGGCCAAGGTGATTTCCTAAGCAAAAGGGCTTTTACTAAACATTGGGCTTCTTAGTTTGGGGTATTTTGGTTGGGTTGTTTTGCTTGGGTATTGGCTACTTTTCTCTCTTGTGCTTACCCACATGTTTGGGCCTAAGAAACGGGCTTGAGTCTCGAGGCTCCCAAGCAACCCGAGACTTTCCATTTCTCGGTCCATCAATGGGTCTCATGTTGATTTATCACCATCCATACCACAACCCACTCAAGCAAGCCCCGGGTATTTGAGTGGCTTGGGGCCCACTTAAGCTTGTGGCGTGATTAGGTGCGGAATGATAATTCCTTGCTTAGCGTGGCGTGTCGTTTGGCGTGGCATGTGTGCAAGCGCATATGATGAACTTTCGCATGCCCAAATCGGGTTTCTTCTTGGTAAAGCATCACATTGGGCCGAGAATTTATTTGGGCCGAACTGTGAATATTTTGGGCCTCAACATTAGCCCCCTTGATTATTGGGGCCATGAATGTGTATTGAAATGGTCCGAATAATCAATTTTCAGCCCAAAATAAATTACCGTGGCATGGCATGGCATGGGTTTAGGAGCAACTCAAGGATAACAGGTTAAGAGTCTCTGAAATTACAGCCAGGTCTTTTCCGGGAAGGTTGGAGGGGTCACAATGGTCCCGCTTAAAACCCAATCCTTCTTAAACACCGAGGGTGTTGCCTTGAAGAACTTTCCTAGACACTGTAATTTTGGAGGTCACTTACTAGAGTTACCAAGAGTTGACCTTATTTTGTGGCATGATATAGAAGAAAATGCTTGGTGGATTAGCTCAAGATAAACTACTTAGCTCGCATGATTTATTTGCTTGAGTGACTAGAGAGGCTTGATTTTGCATGATTGTGGTTTGCAAGAGTTGCATTGACTTGTGTATCTAATATTAGTTATGTATGCTTGATTTTGGCTTGCATGATTTGCTTTGACTTGTATATTTGGTATTTGGCTTGATGCTTAGCATTGCATGTATGCTTGATTTTGGCTTGATACTTGGTATTGGCGTGTATGCTTGATTTTGGCTTGCATGCTTGGATGCTTGGTTTTGGCTAAGGTAGCATGGTTTAATATGGCTTTTGGGACATTTAGCATGGTGGATGTCATTTGACAGTAGCCGGACGTGCTAGTGGATGGTGGGGATCCAATCTTAGAGTTGCGGATGCAATAAGCTTGGATTCACCATTGTGTTTGACTTTACAGCACCAGCCTCCGAACACTTTGAATTTAGAGGACAAAACTTCAATGAAGGTGATATCGTGCGACATGATGGCTAGATATTGGAAGAATGCTTGAAATAGGGCATGTGCTGGAAGGATGTTTGAAATAGGGCATGTGCTGGAAGGATATTTGAAATAACAATGCTGGAAGGATATTTGAAATAGGGCATGTGCTGGTAGAATGTTTGAAATAGGGCATGTGCTGGAAGGATATTTGGAATATAACAAGTGCTGGAAGGATATTTGGAATAGGATAGGTGCTGGAAACGGTTTTGTTTGGCATGGAATAGGTGCTGGAAAAAATGTGACTTGGCTTGGCATGATTAGCTTGGACTTGGATAATCTAATGGTTGAGTTGAATCAAGATATAGCTTGATCTGGCATGAGGGTTCACTCTTCCGGTAGCATGAATATTGGTGTTTTGGAAAAACGATACCCCTTTGTTGCAATGAGGACAATGATAGCATGACTTCTTCTATGTGCTTCCAGCAACTAGAACTGCCAAGTTCTAACATTGCCATTTTTATGATGACTGTATTGCTTGAAAAGCTTGATATTGTGATATTTGGTTTGGTTTGCTTGAAATGATTGCATCTAAGTGAAATGCTTGAGTTGCATGGTTTGCGTGGATTGATTCACAAATGCTTGTATTGATGGGTGGAAGAAGAGATACGAGTTTGAGAGAGCATAAGAGAGCTGGGCACGTTGTCTCCTTGCTGGCTTGGCCTTCAGATGGGCAAAATTTTGTTGCCCCTTCCCTTTGAATTTTTTATTATTTGCAAGTGTCTACCCTCTTTTCCTTTCATTTGGCATGGCATGCTTTATTTTATGATTTTCTCTCATTCTCTTCTTTCTTCTTCTTCAAGACCCAAACCCGTGGGTATTGTGCATCAGTACATAAGTCATATTTCGGAAGCTCGGATCAGAAAACTTCCTTGATCAAAGTTGTTCATCTGCTCGAGTACTATAGCCAGTAAAATTTGCAGAATTTTTTGAATTTTTCTGATACCTCAAAGCTGGTTTGCAACTTCTGAATTCATCCATGGCTGGTGAGTTTTTGCAGATTTTTCTTCTGCATGTGTCTTTAACTTATGATACTCGTATGATTGCGCTTGCTTCACAAAATTTGCTTGAAATTATGTTGTCTATAACATATCCAAAATTGAGGATCATCCACCCATTCTAGTGCTCTCTACCTCCATTTTTCTAAAGCATGTTCATGAGTTGATGTTGATGCCTTTGTTGCATGCTTGTCTTGAATGCTTGAGTTCCTCTGTATTTCCCAGAATTTGTGAACTAGAAATCGAATTCTAAGGTTGAGCTTTTGATTTAGGATTCTAGCTTGGTGATAAACAAGAGTTATACAAGCTCACTTGGGTATGCATGCCAAGTGTTTGTCAAAATATCTCAAAGTAGCTTGCTGGCTGTTTTTTGAACTTTTGAAATGTTTCTTTTCGAATCTGAGTTGGAGCTTTTGAGACATAAAAATGGACTTCTCAATGGTTATGTTGGAATTGGTCTTGCATCACTTGAAGAAAAAATGAATTTTCGGTGGAATTTCAAAGTAAGGGTTAAGGTGCTGGAGCTGTACAGTTTCTGCTGCATGGGCTGTTTTAGAAATCTGTTTGACATGCTTCCCTAGCTCGAAATGCAACGAAATTTTGGGAAAATGAAGCTTGATATGTCTAGTTCTAATCTGGGAAGTCTGGGATTTGTTGGTTGTAAGCTTGATTTATAGTGATTTTCTAAAGGTGGGATATTCTAGCTAGGATGGTTGGAAAGCTTGTGTATAAGTTTTGCTTGGCATGTTGCTTTTGCTTGGGAATTTAGCATGTCTTTTCTGTTGGCATTGAGTGCCGATCTGAGTATTGCTAAAGCATGTTCTTGAGCAATATTGTCGTGAGAGCATGAAGCGGAATGGTATTGTTGTAAGAGCATGAATTCTTCAATTTGCTTTGAGATGCCCGAATTGCTTGAAATGCTTGAGTGAAATGAAATTTCTTGGCATGTGAATTGGTATCACACCTTGTGAATTTTGTCAAATGCTTGATAGATGAGTTTGCTTGCACTTTGAGAAAATTATGCTTCCGGCACATCCGTTTGTGTATGAGTACCTTTCCGGCGTCTGATTTTGGCTAACATATTCTCTTGTTTTAAAAGCTCGAAAGCATGATAAAGCATGAGAAGTCTAATTTGATAGCATAAAAGTGAGTCTTGGTCTCTTGCAACTTGTCTTTGGAAAACATTATGCTTTAATAGCGATTCTACTTCCGGCACCCCCTTTCTGTTTACTAGTTCCCTTCCGGCACCTGATTTGGCCAACGTACTCCCTTGTTTCTTTTTCAGACTTGATTGAGAGGTTCCAAAGCATGAGGAATGCCATCTTCTTACTGATTTGCTGGGATCTTGATAGAATAAAGGTGATTTTTCATCTTGACTTGCAATATGAAGGTTTATGAAAGATTCGAATTGCTTGATCGGAGGGACTTTGGGTGAGAAAGAGAACAAGCTAGTTCTTGAGGCCGTTTTGAGTTTTCTTCCAAAGATGTGATGAGTTTGTTAAACTGTTGCTGTGGGATAAATTTTACTAGCATGATGTTTGAAATAGGACAGGGGCTAAGAAGATTTGAAATAAGGCAAGCGCCAAAAATTCTTTGCTTGTAGAGTAGGAGTTGGAAGAATGTAACTTGGCTTGTTTCAAAAAGGGGAAATAGAAAACTGTTTCTCACCATAATGCAAGATTATCTAGGCTTGTTGTAATCAAAGAGATGATTTATACTGTGTGGCAAAAAAGGTAGATGGGTTTGCTTGTTTGGATGGCATGGTGTACTTCCTTGAATTTGCTTGGCATGAAGCCCTCAAGTCAGCTTGTTGAGGTCAGCAATTGGTTGCAGAGTTGGGTTATATTCTCTTTGGCTTACTCAGGGTCGAGAAACAAAGTAGAGGCCTGCTTGTAATTTTTTTTTTTTTTTTTTTTTTTTTTTTTTTTTTTTTTTGCAACTTGCTTCAAAGAAGATCTTTGGAAGAAGTAGACTGAAGATGAGAAGGAAGAGGCTAAGCGAGTTGCTGGAAGAGATTCATACAGCTTGTTTTCCTCCAAATAAGTAACAAACAGTTTGCTTTCCTCCAAGAGGAAAACTGAAATTTACAACAGCTTCAGGATTCTTGTCTCTCTCTTTTGCTTGGCATGAAGCCCCCAAGTCATTTGGAGTTTGCATGTGCTGTTTGCTATGATGGATTCTCTTAAGCCCCCATAAGCCTTTCGCAAGATGTTTTATCTGAAAAGCTTTAAATTTTGCTGTAGTGCAATTGCATGAATAAAGCTTGTGATTTTTCAGGAGTTGTCGTATAGCCATGAGAAGAAGTTCTTGCAAGTATTAGTTGCCGAAGTATCCATCTTCAGAAAGACCAATTCTTAAGTATGCCTGAAAATAATGATGGTGCCAAAGTCTGCGCAGAAACACATGGGGATAATTGCAATGATGCAATGATGGGTCAGCTGGTTGCATAAATAATGAGATCAACAATGGTGCTGAAGGAGATGGTAACGTGAAATAGAAGATACGATATTCTTTTAGCACCAACTACCCTTCTCCCGGCACCAACTACCCTTCTTCCAGCACCAACATCCCTTCTTTCTTGGTGCATTTGAGGTCGTCCTTTGAGGTGATTGACAAGGTATGCCCTTTTCTCTTTGCAATTTCTTGAATCTATCGAGGGGCTTGTTGGGTTCTTCATGCCCATGGGCTTTGCTCGTTCACTGGAATCTCAGGTCCTTCCTTTTAACTCTGTAGGAACATATATAGACTGATATCTTGGCCTAGGCTTGTTTTTCGCATGCTTGAATAAATTTGGACTTTTCTCCCATGTTGTGGAAATAGAAATTGATAAAGTGCATGCTCTGCAATGCTTGAATCCTTTTGCATTTTGAGGAAGAATTTGCTTGTCATGGGAATTGCTTGAAAATTTCGCTTGCCATGGATAAATTGTATGCTGCTTGGGTATTTGCTTAAGTGTTTCCTTTGGCCTGAGCTTGACTTGCCCTGCTTGACGTATATTTTGCGTGTGCCGCGTTCTTGACCCGTTTTTTTGTTGTTGAACTATATGCATCACGAGCGCATGCTTGTAATCGTATGATTAATGCATAGGATTAGAGGCTATTGAAAGCTTTGAGAAAAGCACCATTGTGCAGGTGCACACGTCTCAGGCATAGGTGGGGTAGGTGCTGGAAACCTTGACGTTTCTGCTGCTGGAACCTTCAAATCCTTCAGCCTTCTAACTTGGATATTTGGGGCTTCTGCTTTAATCTTTTGGTAAGTAACTCCGCCAATTTGAATATTCCAGGAATAAGCATAGACTGGTGCATGGCCTAGGCTTACTCCCCTTGTGAACATATGCTTGATTAATTGTAGACTTTGTTCTCGGTTGCGAGAAGTAGGAATGCATGTCTTGCAATGCTTGATTTTTGTTCTGAAAGAGAATTTGTTTGTCATGCTTATTGAGTCACAGGATGAGAACTTTGTTTGTCACGAAGTTGGGTCAGAAATTGCATATTTGTTTGAACTCCTTTTTTTCTTTTAGGTCAAGAGCATCTCACAAGGGGCGGAGGGTACGCTTCCTTACCCTCCCCTTAGGACACCTGATACAGTTGCCGGCACCTCCTCGCAGCTTCCCGTAGCGCTGTCTCCAACTTCTCCTTGCCTGGGCACACCCAACATAGCTGCCGGCACCTCCCAGTTTCCAGCAGTGCTGCCTCCAACTTCTCCTTGCCTGGGCACACCCGACATAGCTGCCGGCACCTCTCCACAGTTTCCAGCAGTGCTGCCTCCAACTTCTCCTTGCCTGGGCACACCCGACATAGCTGCCGGCACCTCTTCACGGCTTCCGGCAGTGCCCCCTCGTGGTGAGATTATTGGTGACATCCATAAGGACGGTGATGCTTCCACCTCCGTAGGGCATTTATCGGAAAAAATCATGCCTTGGCAAGATTGGGAGAATTCCTTCATGGCGTTCAAAGCCTTCTTTGATGGTGGTGTTACACATAGCATGAAATCATCGCATGGTTCTGTTTCCTTTGAGACTATAGGATGCATGGATCTTTAGCATGTATAGTTTTATCGTGCTTTGACTGTAGTTTTTTTTTCTTTTGACATTCTAACGACTACGTTGTTATGACTTTGTAATTTGGCATTGAACCACTGAAGCTTGTATTAATTTTTTGAATGCTGAAGGCAGGTTGTAATTCGCATGTCTCATATATACAGCTTGGTTGGCAAAACACGTCTTTGTGAACTGTTTGAGATTTTCTGACAGGTTGGATATCCTTAAAAACAAGGTATATGCTGCCAAAATTTCGACAGGAGCGGAATTTCTAAAGTTTCTTTTGCATGGTTTATCTAGCCTCTGGGTTTGAAAAGCAGCTTCTTGCCTTCCTTAAAAAGGGCCAGACTAGCATGTGCATGATTCTTACCAAGGTTTTATAAAACTCCCAAATGTTGTTCCAGCACCTCAAGATTGCGTGCTTCTTTGGAATAGATCGGTTTCTCGTGCCTTATGCTATTTTTGCTTAAGCGTGATGCTTGTTGATGGTTCGGGACCCCATTCAAGTGACTTTGCTTGGCATGGTTACTGCTAAAAGGCTTAGCTTTTAAAAGGGAAGTTTGCTTGTCTATTTTCTTTTTCTTTTCAAAGAACACGTTTTGCAAAACAGAAGAAGATAAAAGTAAGGAAAGAATTCTAGAGGCTTTTTTTTTCTTTTTCCAAAATACTCCATTCTCCTTGCAAATATCGTTTTATGCCTTGGCATGCAATAATGGTGGTGCATTCTACCAAAGTTGTGAAAACATATGGTGAAAACACAAAAGGAGTTCATCTTTGAAATAAATTTGAAAAGCCAAAAACAAAAGGATAGGTGCAAAAGCAACTCAATAGTAAGGCTTTGAGCCATTTTGCATTGATAAATACCCCCATCAAATTAAGCCCCCAAGTATGAAAGGGCCCAAGGTTGCGCATGACTTGCAATAGCATGAAAGCTCGCGGCTTAGGTTGGCATGTATTTGGCATGTGTTGTACTAGGATGCCATGCTCTGTAGAGATATTTAACAGAGCCACAGTTGCTGCTTTACTTGCCTGCAGCTCATAACCAAACTAATCAAAGAGTGATTTGCAGCTACTAACCCATTGTACTTTCTTCAACCTCTGTGAAGTTATGAGAGGTTACAACAGCTGCTTCTTGATAATCTTGATGACCAAATGAAGCCTCCGAGTGGCTTTCTTCCAGCATGTCCAACGTGAATACTTTGCTGCTGGAACCATTCTCCCATCATTAGCAAGTAGCCATGGGGTGTTATAGCTTGCAGATTTTGAATATTTGCTCCAGTTGGCCTTCTTAGTATTTGTTTGGGTCATTGCATGGCATGATGAACTTGGGACATCCCTTTGTTGCAACGGTGACAGTTTGGCATGATTCGGTGGTAGCATGTGCTTCTGGCAGCGACTCTTCCAGCAGTGGTGTTTGGATTTGACTGGCTCTGTTCTTCTTCCACCCTTCCAGCGGCTCTTTCAGTGGTGCTTGAACTTCTATGACTAGAAGTATAGAGAGAGATTTGTCTAAGGAATAGATGATAATGGCAGTGTGTTGAGATATTGGGTAGGAAACATGAGAGCATTTGTTTTCTTGTTTGTTGTTTGGAGGCTTGGGTCCCTTGCACATGACCGATATAATGCGTGTTTTCACAACTCTAGAGAGGTGAGGGCTGCTATGAAGGTGATTTACGGCGATGGCCAGACTTGCTGATGATGTATCATGGCGGAGAGGTGAACGGCAGAGCTAGCCTCAACAATTGACGACGGTGGTCAGCGGCTTGCACGTTGGTTGAAGCCCCCAGTCCTCTTACAAGATATGTTTTGCTTGAGAATGGATATCTAAGACACAAGCAAAGGGAGCATGTGAGTAATCTATATTATGTTTGTTCTACAAAGTAGATAGCCAACGAAAGGAAAAAGAAAAAGAAAGAGGGAATGCTCTTATCTCTTTATTTCCTCCGGTTTATTGCTTCTGGTCTTCTTCTTTGGAGGCATTGGTGCAGATAGTGGCTTAATCCCCAGCAGAGTCGCCAATTTATGTAGGGGCTTTTTTCTTCCGGCAGCTATTACGGGCCTGACTGCCGTAAAGGGCAAAATGGAAGAAATTGCCCCTTGAGCCTGAGTTCGAAAATTAAGCCCCAAAATACCTCGAAAAGGCAGTAGAGCCTTAGGAAGTATTTTGGTTATCTTCACCAACGAGAATAATGGTAACTTGCAGATAGTTTTGGCATGCTTACAGATAGTCTTTTCAGCTCAGCATGAGTGGCATGTGGCATGGGAGCAAAATCAACATGGGTTTAGCACTAAGAGAGAAATTAGGCTTGGTTTATGAGAAAAGAAAGTGTTTAAGTAAGGAATGAGGTGTTTTGTGAGGAATTCGACTAGGGAAAGAGGAAAAAGAAAGGCAGAGTTCTTCTGGCAGCTGCCAGAAAAACAAATTGGAGAAGAAGATGAACAGTGCACGAGTCTGAGTTTTTGCAAGAGAGAAAAGCTTGCTCTCTGCAAGTTGTGGATTGTTTTTGTTGGGTAGGGGAAGGCTCAATTTATAGCTGTCGGAAATCACCATTTTTCAAGAAACCCTAATGGCTTCTACTTACTTTGGCTAAGCTTTTCTTCCTTTCTCCTCCCTTTCTCTGACTTCCCTTTCTTGGCAAAGATTGCTTCTGTCTATTTTCATGAATTCAGGGGATTTGGGGGCTCAACATCCTCCTTTCCCGCGGCTGTGCAATGGGAGCTTCCACTCTTGGTTTGCTGTTTTTTCTTCTTTTCTTTCCTCTTCCTTGGCTGAATCTGACGAAGGAAAAGAGGTGAAAATACATGTTGGTCCAAGGGATGCTTCTGACAGCATGCGGGATGGTATTCATCGGTTCTTTGGATGTCTCTGGGTTGAGACTGGTTTCCAGCAGCTTTGCTTAAGGAGTCTGCCATCTGCTCTTCACGTGTCCTCTGCTTTCTCCAAAAGCTGAGGTTTTTTGTGGGCTATTTTAGGATTTTTATATGGGCCAAGGTGATTTCCTAAGCAAAAGGGCTTTTACTAAACATTGGGCTTCTTAGTTTGGGCTTTATTTTGGTTGGGTTGTTTTGCTTGGGTATTGGGCTACTTTTCTCTCTTGTGCTTACCCACATGTTTGGGCCTAAGAAACGGGCTTGAGTCTCGAGGCTCCCAAGAAACCCGAGACTTTCCATTTCTCGGTCCATCAATGGGTCTCATGTTGATTTATCACCATCCATACCACAACCCACTCAAGCAAGCCCCGGGGTATTTGAGTGGCTTGGGGCCCACTTAAGCTTGTGGCGTGATTAGGTGCGGAATGATAATTCCTTGCTTAGCGTGGCGTGTCGTTTGGCGTGGCATGTGTGCAAGCGCATATGATGAACTTTCGCATGCCCAAATCGGGTTTCTTCTTGGTAAAGCATCACATTGGGCCGAGAATTTATTTGGGCCGAACCGTGAATATTTTGGGCCTCAACACGAGCTTGGGGACTTATCGGTCGGAAGGGTTCCGGTTGTCAGGAAGACATAGATTGGAGACATCCATGTGTCTTCGCACCGAACGGTACACACCTCAACGACGGTTGTACTCGGTTGGGATATATCTCCACCGGTACCTTCCTTCCGATCTGGTCATTTATTGCCGAAGCCAAACGTGGAGAGCGTCGGTTTTTTTTTTTTTTTTTTTTTTTTTTTTTTTTTTTTTTTTTTTTTTTTTTTTTTTTTTTTTTTTTTTTTTTTTTTTTTTTTTTTTTTTTTTTTTTTTTTTTTTTTTTTTTTTTTTTTTTTTTTTTTTTTTTTTTTTTTTTTTTTTTTTTTTTTTTTTTTTTTTTTTTTTTTTTTTTTTTTTTTTTTTTTTTTTTTTTTTTTTTTTTTTTTTTTTTTTTTTTTTTTTTTTTTTTTTTTTTTTTTTTTTTTTTTTTTTTTTTTTTTTTTTTTTTTTTTTTTTTTTTTTTTTTTTTTTTTTTTTTTTTTTTTTTTTTTTTTTTTTTTTTTTTTTTTTTTTTTTTTTTTTTTTTTTTTTTTTTTTTTTTTTTTTTTTTTTTTTTTTTTTTTTAAAATTCAGGGGATTTGGGGGGCTCAACATCCTCCTTTCCCGCGGCTGTGCAATGGGAGCTTCCACTCTTGGTTTGCTGTTTTTTCTTCTTTTCTTTCCTCTTCCTTGGCTGAATCTGACGAAGGAAAAGAGGTGAAAATACATGCTGGTCCAAGGGATGCTTCTGACAGCATGCGGGATGGTATTCATCGGTTCTTTGGATGTCTCTGGCTTGAGACTGGTTTCCAGCAGCTTTGCTTAAGGAGTCTGCCATCTGCTCTTCACGTGTCCTCTGCTTTCTCCAAAAGCTGAGGTTTTTTGTGGGCTATTTTGGGATTTTTATATGGGCCAAGGTGATTTCCTAAGCAAAAGGGCTTTTACTAAACATTGGGCTTCTTAGTTTGGGCTTTATTTTGGTTGGGTTGTTTTGCTTGGGTATTGGGCTACTTTTCTCTCTTGTGCTTACCCACATGTTTGGGCCTAAGAAACGGGCTTGAGTCTCGAGGCTCCCAAGCAACCCGAGACTTTCCATTTCTCGGTCCATCAATGGGTCTCATGTTGATTTATCACCATCCATACCACAACCCACTCAAGCAAGCCCCGGGTATTTGAGTGGCTTGGGGCCCACTTAAGCTTGTGGCGTGATTAGGTGCGGAATGATAATTCCTTGCTTAGCGTGGCGTGTCGTTTGGCGTGGCATGTGTGCAAGCGCATATGATGAACTTTCGCATGCCCAAATCGGGTTTCTTCTTGGTAAAGCATCACATTGGGCCGAGAATTTATTTGGGCCGAACCGTGAATATTTTGGGCCTCAACATTAGCCCCCTTGATTATTGGGGCCATGAATGTGTATTGAAATGGTCCGAATAATCAATTTTCAGCCCAAAATAAATTACCGTGGCATGGCATGGCATGGGTTTAGGAGCAACTCAAGGATAACAGGTTAAGAGTCTCTGAAATTACAGCCAGGTCTTTTCCGGGAAGGTTGGAGGGGTCACAATGGTCCCGCTTAAAACCCAATCCTTCTTAAACACCGAGGGTGTTGCCTTGAAGAACTTTCCTAGACACTGTAATTTTGGAGGTCACTTACTAGAGTTACCAAGAGTTGACCTTATTTTGTGGCATGATATAGAAGAAAATGCTTGGTGGATTAGCTCAAGATAACTACTTAGCTCGCATGATTTATTTGCTTGAGTGACTAGAGAGGCTTGATTTTGCATGATTGTGGTTTGCAAGAGTTGCATTGACTTGTGTATCTAATATTAGTTATGTATGCTTGATTTTGGCTTGCATGATTTGCTTTGACTTGTATATTTGGTATTTGGCTTGATGCTTAGCATTGCATGTATGCTTGATTTTGGCTTGATACTTGGTATTGGCGTGTATGCTTGATTTTGGCTTGCATGCTTGGATGCTTGGTTTTGGCTAAGGTAGCATGGTTTAATATGGCTTTTGGGACATTTAGCATGGTGGATGTCATTTGACAGTAGCCGGACGTGCTAGTGGATAGTGGGGATCCAATCTTAGAGTTGCGGATGCAATAAGCTTGGATTCACCATTGTGTTTGACTTTACAGCACCAGCCTCCGAACACTTTGAATTTAGAGGACAAAACTTCAATGAAGGTGATATCGTGCGACATGATGGCTAGATATTGGAAAGAATGCTTGAAATAGGGCATGTGCTGGAAGGATATTTGAAATATAACAAGTGCTGGAAGGATATTTGAAATAGGGCATGTGCTGGTAGAATGTTTGAAATAGGGCATGTGCTGGAAGGATATTTGGAATATAACAAGTGCTGGAAGGATATTTGGAATAGGATAGGTGCTGGAAACGGTTTTGTTTGGCATGGAATAGGTGCTGGAAAAAATGTGACTTGGCTTGGCATGATTAGCTTGGACTTGGATAATCTAATGGTTGAGTTGAATCAAGATATAGCTTGATCTGGCATGAGGGTTCACTCTTCCGGTAGCATGAATATTGGTGTTTTGGAAAAACGATACCCCTTTGTTGCAATGAGGACAATGATAGCATGACTTCTTCTATGTGCTTCCAGCAACTAGAACTGCCAAGTTCTAACATTGCCATTTTTATGATGACTGTATTGCTTGAAAAGCTTGATATTGTGATATTTGGTTTGGTTTGCTTGAAATGATTGCATCTAAGTGAAATGCTTGAGTTGCATGGTTTGCGTGGATTGATTCACAAATGCTTGTATTGATGGGTGGAAGAAGAGATACGAGTTTGAGAGAGCATAAGAGAGCTGGGCACGTTGTCTCCTTGCTGGCTTGGCCTTCAGATGGGCAAAATTTTGTTGCCCCTTCCCTTTGAATTTTTATTATTTGCAAGTGTCTACCCTCTTTTCCTTTCATTTGGCATGGCATGCTTTATTTTATGATTTTCTCTCATTCTCTCTTTCTTCTTCTTCAAGACCCAAACCCGTGGGTATTGTGCATCAGTACATAAGTCATATTTCGGAAGCTCGGATCAGAAAACTTCCTTGATCAAAGTTGTTCATCTGCTCGAGTACTATAGCCAGTAAAATTTGCAGAATTTTTTGAATTTTTCTGATACCTCAAAGCTGGTTTGCAACTTCTGAATTCATCCATGGCTGGTGAGTTTTTGCAGATTTTTCTTCTGCATGTGTCTTTAACTTATGATACTCGTATGATTGCGCTTGCTTCACAAAATTTGCTTGAAATTATGTTGTCTATAACATATCCAAAATTGAGGATCATCCACCCATTCTAGTGCTCTCTACCTCCATTTTTCTAAAGCATGTTCATGAGTTGATGTTGATGCCTTTGTTGCATGCTTGTCTTCTATGCTTGAATGCTTGAGTTCCTCTGTATTTCCCAGAATTTGTGAACTAGAAATCGAATTCTAAGGTTGAGCTTTTGATTTAGGATTCTAGCTTGGTGATAAACAAGAGTTATACAAGCTCACTTGGGTATGCATGCCAAGTGTTTGTCAAAATATCTCAAAGTAGCTTGCTGGCTGTTTTTTGAACTTTTGAAATGTTTCTTTTCGAATCTGAGTTGGAGCTTTTGAGACATAAAAATGGACTTCTCAATGGTTATGTTGGAATTGGTCTTGCATCACTTGAAGAAAAAATGAATTTTCGGTGGAATTTCAAAGTAAGGGTTAAGGTGCTGGAGCTGTACAGTTTCTGCTGCATGGGCTGTTTTAGAAATCTGTTTGACATGCTTCCCTAGCTCGAAATGCAACGAAATTTTGGGGAAAATGAAGCTTGATATGTCTAGTTCTAATCTGGGAAGTCTGGGATTTGTTGGTTGTAAGCTTGATTTATAGTGATTTTCTAAAGGTGGGATATTCTAGCTAGGATGGTTGGAAAGCTTGTGTATAAGTTTTGCTTGGCATGTTGCTTTTGCTTGGGAATTTAGCATGTCTTTTCTGTTGGCATTGAGTGCCGATCTGAGTATTGCTAAAGCATGTTCTTGAGCAATATTGTCGTGAGAGCATGAAGCGGAATGGTATTGTTGTAAGAGCATGAATTCTTCAATTTGCTTTGAGATGCCCGAATTGCTTGAAATGCTTGAGTGAAATGAAATTTCTTGGCATGTGAATTGGTATCACACCTTGTGAATTTTGTCAAATGCTTGATAGATGAGTTTGCTTGCACTTTGAGAAAATTATGCTTCCGGCACATCCGTTTGTGTATGAGTACCTTTCCGGCGTCTGATTTTGGCTAACATATTCTCTTGTTTTAAAAGCTCGAAAGCATGATAAAGCATGAGAAGTCTAATTTGATAGCATAAAAGTGAGTCTTGGTCTCTTGCAACTTGTCTTTGGAAAACATTATGCTTTAATAGCGATTCTACTTCCGGCACCCCCTTTCTGTTTACTAGTTCCCTTCCGGCACCTGATTGGCCAACGTACTCCCTTGTTTCTTTTTCAGACTTGATTGAGAGGTTCCAAAGCATGAGGAATGCCATCTTCTTACTGATTTGCTGGGATCTTGATAGAATAAAGGTGATTTTTCATCTTGACTTGCAATATGAAGGTTTATGAAAGATTCGAATTGCTTGATCGGAGGGACTTTGGGTGAGAAAGAGAACAAGCTAGTTCTTGAGGCCGTTTTGAGTTTTCTTCCAAAGATGTGATGAGTTTGTTAAACTGTTGCTGTGGGATAAATTTTACTAGCATGATGTTTGAAATAGGACAGGGGCTAAGAAGATTTGAAATAAGGCAAGCGCCAAAAATTCTTTGCTTGTAGAGTAGGAGTTGGAAGAATGTAACTTGGCTTGTTTCAAAAAGGGGAAATAGAAAACTGTTTCTCACCATAATGCAAGATTATCTAGGCTTGTTGTAATCAAAGAGATGATTTATACTGTGTGGCAAAAAAGGTAGATGGGTTTGCTTGTTTGGATGGCATGGTGTACTTCCTTGAATTTGCTTGGCATGAAGCCCTCAAGTCAGCTTGTTGAGGTCAGCAATTGGTTGCAGAGTTGGGTTATATTCTCTTTGGCTTACTCAGGGTCGAGAAACAAAGTAGAGGCCTGCTTGTAAATTTTTTTTTTTTTGCAACTTGCTTCAAAGAAGATCTTTGGAAGAAGTAGACTGAAGATGAGAAGGAAGAGGCTAAGCGAGTTGCTGGAAGAGATTCATACAGCTTGTTTTCCTCCAAATAAGTAACAAACAGTTTGCTTTCCTCCAAGAGGAAAACTGAAATTTACAACAGCTTCAGGATTCTTGTCTCTCTCTTTTGCTTGGCATGAAGCCCCCAAGTCATTTGGAGTTTGCATGTGCTGTTTGCTATGATGGATTCTCTTAAGCCCCCATAAGCCTTTCGCAAGATGTTTTATCTGAAAAGCTTTAAATTTTGCTGTAGTGCAATTGCATGAATAAAGCTTGTGATTTTTCAGGAGTTGTCGTATAGCCATGAGAAGAAGTTCTTGCAAGTATTAGTTGCCGAAGTATCCATCTTCAGAAAGACCAATTCTTAAGTATGCCTGAAAATAATGATGGTGCCAAAGTCTGCGCAGAAACACATGGGGATAATTGCAATGATGGGTCAGCTGGTTGCATAAATAATGAGATCAACAATGGTGCTGAAGGAGATGGTAACGTGAAATAGAAGATACGATATTCTTTTAGCACCAACTACCCTTCTCCCGGCACCAACTACCCTTCTTCCAGCACCAACATCCCTTCTTTCTTGGTGCATTTGAGGTCGTCCTTTGAGGTGATTGACAAGGTATGCCCTTTCCTCTTTGCAATTTCTTGAATCTATCGAGGGGCTTGTTGGGTTCTTCATGCCCATGGGCTTTGCTCGTTCACTGGAATCTCA